TAATGAGCTACTGGATTCATGAATATTAATCAGGTTGTGTGCGTTTGCTCGAACTGATTAGCTGAAATCAAAACAGAGAAGATAACAGGTGAGCACCAGCCAATGAGATTGCTGTTTGCGCATTAGTTCCGCCCACTACAGGAAAACTCACAGATCGCTTGGCGGAGAGTGAAACTCTGAAGCGCTCAGTCAGAGTGTTCTGTGAGTGAAAATATATCTGTGTTAATCATATACTCAGCCTCCAACTCACACACTGGCGAGTAAAATCTGAGAATTTATTAGCCATTGGCTAATATTAGACATCATTTAGTCGCCCAGAGTGAAGATTTATATCACTCGCATATGCGAGTGATTTACTCGCAATGTAGAGGGTTGCGGAAGCAGCAGAAGGTCAACATCAAGTCTGACACACAGTCTTGGAGCTTCGTAAACTTTATTTATTCAAACTCAAATGAGTCTGTTGTTCCTCCGTGCTCATCTCATCACTTTCCACCCCCGAAGAAGCCCACACACACACACTGAGACACACACTTGGACGATCAAGTGCAAACGTAATTACTGTCGAGCGCTGTCTAATTGGCCACCATTAAGCATTAAGCAAATGCTTAATTTCCACACTCCAATGTCACCACATTGTCGTTTTAACTGTCCCCACCCCCCCGTTCGTCCGTCAGCGCCCTCAGCTCTGCCAAACACCGCGACCACAAGACAGTTTTAATGTTGAGCGGCTAATGAGAGGAAGAGTGGAAGGAAATCCACAAAGCCAGACGGGAGAAAAGAGAAGCAGAGAGCTGCCAAACTTTCTCTCCCTGAACTGTATATTTTTTTGACAGCTTTTCACAGATCTCAGCCTTTGGTGCCAAATTATTTGTCTGGTGGCTGGCTTGTGTAATTGCGTGGATGTCCTTCCCGCTTTCTGATCCCTTGCTTATACAGACACAACTACACACATGATCAATTCAGACGAGAGCGGCCACACAGGACGTTCTGTAATGGAAGTGAGCAGATTTAATTAATGTCCCATTTGAACCGACATGATTAGTGCTGTTTGAGAGGACAAGCGTCACTTTTGCTCATGGCATTACACTTATTTTAACTACACTGGGAGAGAAGTATATATGCATGTAGATATAGACAGCAGACAGAGGCAGAGTTGTGCAGCAGTGCTGTTTATTCATCACACGTGCAAAACGTACTGATTGTATTTTTTGTTTGATGCATTAAGTTGCGGAGGGATTGCAAACACTGAAATCAATGCAAATCTCCCTTAATTTAATAATACTTTCTGAAGCTATCCACTTCATCAAGATGTTTTTGCTGCTGGGTTTTGATAATTCAATTCCCCCGTAACAGCTGTTGTAGAAAGTTTTCATAGATCAAATCTTGATTCTCTGAGTGTCTTTTTATTGCAGATATTTTATAAAGTTTTATAAAATAATACACTACCATTCAAAAGTTTGGGG